CAACGGGCGAATTACCTATCAGAAATTAATAGTTTATTGAAAAAAGGTGCAATATCAGAATGTCTTCATACGAGGAATGAATTTATATCTCCTTTTTTTCTCATATCAAAACCCAATGGTACATATAGATTCATTCTGAACTTGAAAATGTTGAACGAATTCATTCCTGCACCACATTTCAAATTGGAAAACCACAAAACAGTTATTCATCTGATATCGAAAAATGATTTTCTTGCAAAACTGGACTTGAAAGATGCCTATTTTCTCATTCCTATAGAAACAAAATATAGAAAATATTTGAGGTTTCAGTTTGAAGGAAAATTATACGAGTTCAACTGTTTGCCCTTCGGTTTGAATATAGCACCTTACATTTTCACAAAGCTGTTGAAACCAATTATCAAATATCTGAGATTGAAGGGTTGTCGTTTGGTAGTTTATTTGGACGATATTCTTTTAATAGGCGAATCTTATGACCTTTGTCAGCAGTATATAAAAACTACGATAAATATTTTCCAGTTCTTAGGATTCATAATCAACACTCAGAAAAGCATAATTATTCCAACCCAAAAACTTGAATATTTAGGATTTGTTTTCGATAGTACCAACATGACAATTAGCTTATCGAAAGAAAAACAGGATAAGATCCGAAGTTTATTAGCACATTTTTTGAACATGAGAACTTGTACTATCAGATTGTATTCAAGAATTATCGGAAAGTTGGTTTCAATAGCACCCACTGTCAAATATAGCTGGTTACATATAAAACAATTTGAGACCATAAAGTTTGGGGCATTGAGGAAAAACAAAAACTACAACTCTGTGATGTCAATTCCAAATAATGTAATGGGTGAAGTACATTGGTGGTTGACACACATCAGAAAAGCCGTTCAGTGTTTCGAACCTCTAACATTTTCAATAGAGATATCATCAGATGCCTCCACCACAGGTTGGGGAGCAGTTTCAGGCAAGAAAAAAGCTTGGGGTTTATGGGATCCAAAAGAATCAAAATATCACATAAATAGACAGGAATTACAGGCAGCGTTTTATGGTCTGAAATGTTTTGCTAAACATATGGCTAATTGCAACATCCTGTTAAGAATCGATAATACAACAGCAATAGCATGTATTTCAAAAATGGGCAGTATAAAGCATAAAAACTTAAATAAATTAACCCAGGAAATATGGCGATGGTGCGAAGAAAGGAATATTTTTTTAATTGCTACTTATATAAGTTCTATTGAAAATTATAGAGCTGATGAACTTTCTCGAATAAAATCTATAGATACTGAATATGAACTCAATGATACAATATTTTATGAAATAATTGAGAACTTTGGAATACCAGAAATAGATATTTTCGCGTCACGTATAAATAAAAAATGTCGGAAATACATTTCTTGGGGATCGGATCCATACTCAGTATCCACGGATGCATTCACTTCAAATTGGAATCATATTTTCTTTTATGCGTTTCCACAAAAAATAATCAAAGATAGAGCTACGGGTATTTTAGTCGTGCCCAATTGGCCAACTCAAGCTTGGTACCCATTATTTTGTAACCTACTAATAGAAGAGCCACTACATTATCTACCATCAGAAACATTACTGTTGTCTCCTTTCAGAGAGATGCATCCCCTCCACGATACCCTTTCCCTGGTGGCGGGGAAATTATCCGGCAAGCGTTTTGTAACCGAGTACCTGCCGCAGCAATACCAACAATGATGGCTTCTCTGAGTGAAAAAACTATTAGGCAATATTCATCTTCCCTTAAATCATGGTGGGTTTATTGCAACAGTAATACATTGGACCCATATGACTATAAATTGAACAGAATTATAGAATTTCTTCAATACATTTTGGAATGTAAAAAATCCTATTCTTCTTTGAACACCACTAGATCAGCCTTGTCACTTATTTTTCAAATAGAATCAGAGGACCAGCTTGTATTGAAGAGATTTTTGAAGGGGGCTTACAACATAAACCCTTCTGGTCCAAAATACTCCAGTACATGGGACCCAGAGCCTGTGCTGATATCACTAGAAAATATGTATCCTTTAAGTAACCTATCGCTTAAGGACTTATCGATGAAATTATGTACACTTCTGGCCCTAACAACAGCTCAAAGAGTACAAACACTTTCGAAAATTTCTATTAGTAATATTGCAAGAAAAACAAATAGGATGGAAATACGCATTCCTGAGAGAATTAAGACCTCTGGCAAAAATAAAAATCAGCCACTGCTGAGTTTTCCCTATTTCGAAAATAAACCAGGACTTTGTGTAGCATCTACTCTAGAATATTACATAAAGCATACTCAAAATATACGTCCAAAGGCAATGGACACATTAATATTGACCCTCAAAAAACCTTTTCATCCTGCTTCTTCGCAGACAATAAGTAGATGGATAAAAGACTTTTTGAGGATCAGTGGGATTGATACCAACATTTTCAGTTCTCACAGTGTACGCCATTCGGCAACATCCGCAGCCGCTAGAGCGGGTGTCAATTTGAGTACAATCAGAAATACCGCAGGTTGGTCAGAAACGTCAAATGTTTTCAACAACTTCTATAATAGACCGTTGGCCATCAATCCAGACGAGTTCATACATTCTATTATTGACAGGGCGTCGATAAATTAGGTTATAATTTTTACTTATATTATGCCGAAAATAATATGTAAATGTATTTTGGGTTATTGTTCAATTTTTCTGTGTAATAAATGTTAGTTGCACGAAAATCACGCAGCAAATATTCTCTAAAATTCTATCAGTGACCAAAGGAGGGCGTAGATGTGAAGAATAATTGTAAGATTGGTTGACTTACCTGGTAAGGAATACCAATCTAGATTATTCGAACATCGTAGCCCTCCTTTGGTCAACAACCCACCCACCCTTCTACCCAGAGGAGGATCACTGCACAAAATGGACTGACTCATTGATGCTCATGGTGGAGATAGCAGTACGTGACAAAAAACGTTGTGTAATAATTATTTATCTTTAAAATATGTGCTGAGGTATGAAATACAGGGATCTATCAGTGACCAAAGGAGGGCTACGATGTTCGAATAATCTAGATTGGTATTCCTTACCAGGTAAGTCAACCAATCTTACAAGTATACTTACTCCTTCAGAAATAAGGGAGGTGGCAAAAAATATAGAGTTGAATTTGTTGCCGGAGAAGTCTCGGATGAAATATGATGGAAATTATAAACGATTTATGGATTATTGATTTTGCTGACACATATCAATCAGCAAAGTACCCACTTTGCTGCCTAGGCAGGAAAAGTAATACTTTGCTGATTGATATGTGTCAGCAAAATTAATATTTGCTGCCAATCGGAGAAAAATGTCTTTTCCCCCCATGACATCGCGGCCGGAAATTTTCTGTAGACTTGATTCCGCGCCAATAGGCGAGTGAACTATTTTTTTTCTCAAATACCTTTCAATATCTTATTTTTTAAGAATATTTCGGTCGATTTTAAGGTGCTAAAATCACCAATAATGTCACGGTAATTTTCAAACGGCTAGAAATTTACCGCCAGTAAAAACTGACGCCATGATTTCGTAAATAGGGGCAGACCATAGCACTATTGGGGCTTCGGAGATATGAGTTATTCAATAATTCATAAATTCTCAATTGGGTATTGGAAATATTCCTAATTAGAAATAAAAATTCAATTGTCTCAAAATGTCCCCTTCTGATTTGTGACTTATTGCTTATAATAAATTTGTGTGAATAATAATTATATTAATTTACACTAGATGTCTCCAACATTCACATGCTATTTTGTTATGGAACATAAGAAATATTTGAACATGCTGGTTGCTCGAAAAAGTCGAGAATTAACTATAATATCATGGGTTCCTCCAATTATGTTCTATTCAACGACAGGACTCTAAAATCTTTTTGATAACTTGATTATAATTGGTGACTTGACAACCTTGCTTCATGAGTGGAAATACCAATAATAACAATAGCATAAACACTGACGTCACCATTTATTCGACGTATCGCCAAATGGCGGTCATGGAAGTTTTTTTGAAATGAGCTCTGAAATTCAACAATTTTGAACAACGCATAGTCTAATTATTAACATAAAAAAACGGGAGAGAGAGAGAAGTGTTGCAAAAATTGATACACAGAGGAGTAATTGAATGACAATAATCCATTATTAGTGCACTCGCCCATTATAAGTGTATTGGCTATTATTTTCTATGATGTGAAAACAATCGTTATTCGAATTTTCCGCCAATATCACTGATTTGAACTTACACCGCTATTGCCCAAATTGCTATGATTGGTGTCCTATACATATGTTTGGGCAAAACGGATTCGTGCAGTTTTACACTGGAGAGGCTATTGGAGAGTTATGACCAAAAGATGTTTCAGCGAAATCTCATAATTCACCCTATATATTGGTTATGAAGAGAGAAAAACACCTTCTGATGGACATTAGGTATTGCCCTCAGGGGCCTCTATTCGTGGTTGGAGTATGTATAGTTCCTCATGACTCACCCTGTATATTATGTCCCAAAGGCATGTAAAAACATTGTATTTTATCGAACGGCACTTGTGCCGATCACTATCCTGAGCAAAATGAATGAAACATAGCACTTTCCTGTGTGGAAATTTGCACTCAATTTCGCAATTTCATAAAGAGATAAGAATTATGCCCAAATCGCTCTGATTGGTGTCCTATACATATGTTTTGGCAAAACGGATTCGTGCAGTTTTACACTGGTCCATCGGATCTTAGGTAGGGTTTTGTGATCTACCATTCAATTGGTATCGGATGGCATAATTCTTATCTCGTTGTCAAATCGCGAAATTGAGTGCAAATAACCGCACAGGAAAGTGCATATTTTCAAACATTTTGCTCAGGATAGTGATCGGCACAGGTATCGTTCGATAAAAGATTAAATACAATGTTTTCGTTATCAGATGACGGTCGTTTGCAACCGGCTCCTGGACTATGAGAAGATAATTAAAACAGTTTTCAGTTATGGGTAAAGCCGAGGGCATTGGAGACAATTGGCATGGTCATGTCACAGCACTGACAGTTTCTCCATACTTCCGTAGACTGGGATTGGCAGCTTCTCTTATGAATTTCTTGGAAGAAGTGTCAGAAAAGTAATTATTTATTTCAAATATCTAAGTACATTATTTTTATACAGGGTATTTCCGAAATTGGAACGACAAATAAAGTTGGTGACGATAAAACAAAATGAAATGTAAGAATGTATTTTTGCGAAAACAAATTATCTTGAGAGATATTGAATTTTAATAGTTTGCTGAAACCTTTGTGAATTGGCAACTTTGACAATGTTGCTGGATGTTGAATAAGAGTTGCAAGATGTAATTTTAGTGAGTCATTGTGTCTTATATACATCATTTCATGAATAATTGTCGCTCGAATTTCGAAACCATCCTGTATTGGTACTCATGGACCTCTTCATAGCTTCAAAGAATTTGTATAAATCTAAGACACAACTAGAACATACACCAATAGGTAATTTCAACTCATGTAATGTAACATTGAGAAAAATATCTCTTGGAGCGCACAAAAGGAAATTCCTATAATGTTCGAAGAACATCATGCGTACCTGGGAAGGTAGGTGTTGGAATTTTTTGGAGCTTTTGGAGGTTATAAGGTCTTGGTTATACTTCCATTGGCAAATAATTCCACGAGTATTGGTGAAGTGTTATTCATCAGCGTAGCCTCGTGGTTGAAGCGCCAGTATTCTATCCACGTTCGATTGCCAGTAGGTGGGTTCGATTCCCACCACGACCGCAGAAATTTTTCTGATGGCCTAAGAAAGTGTTTGGGATCACACTTTAAAAGGTAAGACCCTCGCCATTCGTTGCTCGCACAAGTCTCTTGAAGACTTCTGAGGGTTGCTCGTAAGGGGACAACCGAATGATGGATAAGAACAATTCAAGAACAACAATTCAAGGTTGACAATGAAAGGATGTAGTATAGCTATTTATGAAACAAGCTGCATAATGAGTGTGGTTTTCGCTTTAGACGGCGGGAGTATTGCAAATTCAAACAAATTTTCACAATGCACTTCAATTATTCTGTGCACATTGTGGACAGAGTATCATTCTATGTATAAATAAGTATTCTCGGAGAATACTTGAGGAATTTCTGAATACTTACATTTCAAGAATATTCCTAGAAGATTGATAAATCAACAAAGAAGCTGATACAGGCATGATTTTCAAATCGTTAACCTCTAGACTCTAGATCACCTCTATGATTGAGTCATACAGAACAGAAAACTAAAATAAAGTTCCCTTACATTATTTAATGAATATTCTCTATAATATTTCATTACTGAAGCTCCTCGGAATGTATGCTCAGAATATCGTTAGAATATTCGTATGGAATATCCATGATTGTTCACAACTTTCTGAAAATATATCTGAGGAGCTTCTAAGAATTCATTTTGATAATAATAGAATATTTTCTTGGGACAAATTATGAATATTTGCAACATTTTGAGAACATTCCATACATATTCCTATGAAATATTCAACAAGGCGACATTTTCGTAGCTTGAAAGAATATTCTGAGAATATCTTGGATTACTAGTTGAATTATGGTATGTCTTATGGCTACCAAATTGACGTTCAAAATGTCGAAAATACCTCAGCCTTCCGCATACTTTGAACATTATAGGGATTCTCTTTCGTGCGCTCCAAGCGATAAAAAAAATGCTAATGAAAATGATGACCTATTTAATTTCGATGTTCGACGAAATCACAAAAAGTTCCATACGTTTGGGGTGGTTCAAATTTTACATGGAATATTTTGGAATGATATTTCTCTCATCTTTCTTAATCGGATAATATGTAACAATATGCCACGACTGGTTGAGAAAGTTACATGTTGTCAAAGTTGACAAAAATAGAACCTTATTCACCATAACTTCTTGAAAGGAGCCGCGCAAATCTTACAAAATGCTTCATGAATATCTACCTTACTTGAGAAGGGCTATACCTACTTTATGACACTTCTCATTCAAATATGACTTATCAAAAGTAATAATATTGAGATGTTTTGAATATTGGAATATTGAATTTGAAATCTCTGAAAAGATGAAGAACTTTTGTTACGATCATCATTAATGAAATAGGAAGCCTTGGTCTAATTCCACATGATATTTCAATTGCAATATTTGTTTCTTCTAGGAAAAGAACATACTTTGTGGATTTGTTTGTGCGCGTGAGCAACAAAGTAGCAATCAATATGTATAAGAATTTGGGATACATAGTTTACCGAACTGTTTTGGAATACTATTCAGGAGATCCAGACGAAGATGCATATGGTGAGGAACTTTTTCTATATGAATTATTCAGTATTTTTCTATAATCACTTATTTTCAAGTATCTCAAAAAAATTGCATTAACCTGACTACTTACCGAAAAATTATGTTTTCAAATCAGCGGGTAACTTGGAACATCTATAGTTTTTAAAATATCATCCTCACGACTGAACAGGCGAAGACGAATATTTGAATAATTATTATAGTATATCAACTCATCCATATTCTATGATAGTGCAAAATTCCCTGTCATGATCAATAACTTTGCCACATATGTATCTGAAAAGTGTTCCACCTATCCCCATTGGTATGTAAAAATGTACATAATATGCAAGACCCAACCAATGCAATAGTTGTTCAGTCAATGTTAGGATGCAGATCTGTCTTATTGTAGGAGCTCGAAATGAATTATTGACATGATATTACTAATGTGTTTTCAGTTAATCATCATTGTACGATTGGCATAGAAAATGTTTGATGAATGTTTGTATCTTTCTGTTAAAAAAATAATTGTCTCAATTGATAATACTGCATAAGATTTCTTTAAACAATCAAAGAAGGATCTAATGAATCATTCACAGACTTGTTCCTTGTTGGAATATTTTTATTTCTCTAAGAGAACAAGTTATGTGGCAGAGCAGCCATTTGGGGATTTTTCAGGGTCTTTTTCATCCAACAGTAATTTTTGAGAACATTTATCAAAGTAATGTCAGTTTTACTCCAAAGAACTGACACGGCAAACTTCTGGTTGTATTCACAGGAATAATATCTATATGTTATGATCTTCAGTATCAGTGCTATAATCTAGTGATTCTCATTGCATTCTTCAATGTTTGATTTTAATTTCACACGAAATAGATTCTAAATATCATATTTTATTTTCAGATATGCGAAAAGCGTGTTCCCGAGATACTGACAAGAAATCTGTTGTCCCACTAACTCATCCTGTTAGACCTGAGGAAGTTGATTAATATATAATGTAGCATTTCAATAAACAATTAATATAAATGAGTGATGCATTCCTGCTATATTTTTCTTCATGATTTGATCCATTTTTATGAAATTGGAACAAGCTATCTCACAAGTACGAATTTGTCTCGCCTAATAGTGCTATTGTTTTTCATTACATATTTTCATCATGTCGAATGACAACATAGTATTCGGATTTCAGACAAGACATTGTTACCAATATAAACTATGTTAGTTTTTATGTCTTATTGGAGCGCACAAAAGGAACTTCCACAGACGAACGAGTGTTGATAAAGTGTTGTTCGACATATCTCAAGGTTGACAACGAACGGATGTGCTGACTGGGCTTGTCGAGTTCGTCCGACTTTTCTACAGTGTTCTAATACGGTCACAGAACTAGTAAGTGTGGCATCACCCACCAGGCGAATTGGTCTTCTCTGGGTGGAATCTCAGAGAGTATATATAATAATTTATTACGGAATAACTGAAATAGTGCCAGAAACTTCTTCAGAATGGTCCTATAATATTTTGTCCGTAGTTTTATATTATGAGTTATTCTCACAATAAAATAGGACAAAAATAATATTCCAGTCCTAATATTGGTTTCGTTCAAAAGACTATTTGTTGAAGCCTTTAGTTCAATGTACCAAATTTGAACCAAATCGGGTAATGCCATAGTATTCAATACGGCAGACTAAATGTTTCGTCAAAATCCACAAATCACTCCGTCGGTTCATCCCTGGACACCCTGTATATAATATTACTTCTAACGAACATGTATCGCCGCGGCTGATAGTTCATAGCCGAGCGTAGCGAGGTTAGGAATTCATCCAAGGCAGTCAATGTACATTTGCTGCCGTGTGAAACATAGAATTTTTTCTCCAAATGATATAAAACCAATTTTGTGTAATTTTTCCATTGAAAACTCCATCATTTTGTGTTCACCCAATGTCAGTGTCAATTTTGATTGCTCATTTCATTAGAATTTCTTGGAACCTTGCATAGCAACAAATTATTTCTGCCTAGGCAGTAAAAGTACACCTTTTCTGCCTGTTAAGCGGCAGGAAAAAGCCACTATCCCTGTCGCTTGGAGAAAATAGTTATTTGTTTTACTAGGCAGAAAAGTAGTAGATTGACTGCCGCGACTGATAGTTCATAGCCGAGCATAACGAGGCTAGGAATCCCGCCAAGGCAGTCAATCTACATTTGCTGCCGTGTGAAACAGAATTTTTTCTCCAAATAATATAAAACCAATTTTGTGTATTTTTTTTAATTGAAATCCCCATCATTTTGTGTTCACCCAATGTCAGTTTCAATTTTGTTTACTAATTTCATTAGAATTTTTTGGAACGTTGCATAGCAACAAACTTTTTCTGCCAGGCAGTAAAAGTACACCTTTTCTGCCTGTTAAGCGACAGGAAAAAGCCACTATCCTTGCCGCTTGGAGAAAAAAGACATTGGTTGTTTAAAAATGGAGAATAGGCGAGACTTGCACCAACTATGTTTGCTATACAATCTGCGATAAAGTACTACCATTCCTGAAGTATTAGCACAGTTGAAGGAATTAATATATCAATTGCCGCACTCCTTCAAAAGTTCAAAAGATCATTCCTCTTGCCTCGTCTGCCCACTGCCCTGGCAGACTGCTACCACTGCTACCAGTATGCCGACCGCAGTCGCAGTCCGTTGTATCGGTACACCCAAAAATAGCATCGCATCGTTTGATATCGCATATAGTATAGTCTGCATCAAAATTCAACAAATACCAAGAATTTATGAAATAACAAGTCCTTCATTACATGAATTTTGGTGTAACTATTTTTAGTTAGTATAAAGTTGAAGTTGGTATTATGTAATATTTTTGTTTATTTCATTTTATCTTATTTCCTGATTGAGTGGAAGAGCAGCATCAGCTGAACTCCGCTAGATGTATAAATTCATTTTTAACTACTGTTTTATCATAACTCATTTGACATCAAGAATACTGAAAATTGAAGATACCTGTTATATTAATTATTTGTCTACGACTGTTGTACTTCCTGCTCAAGCAAAACGATAGCCATTTTTCACACCAGTTAATAATAGTGGTGAATAACCATTATTATTCACTGGTCTAAACTTCCTTATATGTTATTATATCGCGTATCCTAGGAACTCTAGACCAGTGAATTATGGTTATCCACTGCTATTATTCACTGGTGTGAAAAATGGATACCGTTTTGCTTGAGGAAGTGAATGTAATGAATATTTTATGCAACAGTCGTGAATAAAGGAATTAATATATCGTACGTTGAGAACAATTATAGTTGGACAACTCAAAAAAGTTGATTAGATAGAAGTTATATAGAACCACCGTCGGATAGCAAATTTCGAGCTCTACACTTCTAGAATACCGTGACATCTCTAGGTCCAATAGCTGCTGCGTGACATATCGCTGGTCACCTTATTGCACTAGAGAAGTATAGGTACTACAGCCGAACAAGAAAAAAGTGACTTTTTGCGTTGTCAATTAAACTTCGCAGGATACGCCTCGTATTCTGACTTTCAGGAAATTTTTATGATAAATAATGTGGCAAGTATTAAGTCACCTTATTGATTGAACACAATTTGAAATTTTTTGAGCTGTCACGTTATTACATTTTCATCATTAAATGCAACAAATTTTTGAGTTGTAATGTTAACAATATGGAATATTTCGATTCGTCACATTATTGCATGCGTTGCACTTATTGATATGGAGTAGGTTAATTCGAGTTTTGCAGAAAGATTGAAATAAAAGCAACAAGAAGATGCCCATAAAAATATAAAGAAGAAATAAAGAACTAGAATGAAACTTTCGAATGTATGTAATTTACATATTTCTTTTGCACTAAATATCAAGCTCCTCCTAATGTTTGAATTCCAATTTTGAAAAATATAATATTATTATAATTCCTTCGGATTGAACATTTGGAAAATGTGTGTTTGTAAGAATTTACAAGAATAGATTTGACTTTAAATTTCATTTATCATAGGTATTTCCTTCTTTCAGAAAATTTCCCTATACCTTATTCGTGCCTATATATAGTCACTTCTCTTCCCAAACTATGGCATTTCAACTTTATGCGAATTTTCAATGAAACTTATTGCTATTCAACTCAAAATTTGTCTTTTGCAAATACCCGTTTGTTTCTATTCAGAAACTAAAGAAGATGATAATGAAATGATAGGAACTCAGAGCACATCTTCAATAAATCCAGTCATGAATATAATGGGGTCTACAAATGAAGAAAAATACCTATAATACATGTTATACGGCAATTTTTTGAGATGTAACATCTCAGAAAATTGGTGCTTTTCAGGCGTGACATCTCTTAAAATCATCGAACATGATGAATCAAAACTGTAACTTAATTTCGAAACTTTTTCTTGAAAAATTAGAAAAAAATAGGTATTCGAAAATATAACTAAAAATTGCCCATGTAAGCTTATCACATAATAATATAATTTGAACTAAATATATTTTTCGCGGTGAATGAGGTTCACCAGAGACAAATTCATCATCATTGAGAAGTGACAATTTTCAACGAAGCTTTCCTCAAAACGAAGAATTTTGAATTATCACACTATTGTTCTCAACGTGCGATATCAGTTGCCGCACTCTCCTTCAAAAGTTCAGAAGATCATTCCTCCTACCCCGTCTGCCCGGGCAGACTGCTCCAGTATGCCGACCGCCGTCCGTTGTATCGGGTCACCCAAAAAATTGCATCGCATCGTTTGATAGCGCACAGTTTACATAATCTGCATCAAAATACAATAAATACCAAGAATTTATGGAATTTAACTCCTTCATTACATTCAAAAAACAAAAGAAGACGTTCTTATTCGGCAAACGGTGATCAATAAAAAAACATGAATTTTGGTATAACTATTTTCAGTTAGTATATAGTTGAAGTAGGTATTATGTAATATTTTCATTTATTTTATTTCATTTTCTATATCCTGGCCTAGTGGAAGAGCTGAACTCCGCTAGGTTCAATGAAGGCAATTTATAACATTTGTTACATTTTATCATGAATTAACTTTTCCAAATTGAAACATCCAGTACATCGTAGTTTCGATCAGGTCAGCGGAGTTCATAGACGTCAGTTCCTTCAAAATTTGCAAAAAACGCTTACCGTGCGATAATACCCAGGTAAGCAATATCGAAAGGTAACGGCCATTCCCATTGCGGAAAATTGCGAAGCTAGCATCGATTCCGAATATAAATAGTACCCTAGCAGTCGATAAGGCATCATTATTATCAATACAAGTCATTATAGTAATTATCAATTGAAAATGTTCGCCGTCTCCCCGACTTCAATCCTGCTGGTCAACCCCATGCTAGACGTTGTAATGTAAGTACTGTTTGTTTTTCAAGTGTTGTTTTGCGTTGTGTTTCATTTGCCAAGCCATTATGTTCTTTTTTTGCTAACCTGCCATGTGGCAAACATTTATCTACGATTTTTGTATTCAATCAATAAATGTCAAATTTTATAGGAAAACTGTCTTGACTCTTCATTTGGGGATGAATGTGGTTCCCAGCAAACACAGGGCAGTAACTGTAAAGTACTATGGAAGTAATTTTGCAACTAATATCCGCGTGCGATGTACGAAAAACATCTCCTCCCGCTCTTATTTGCAGCGAAATGTCCGCGACATCAAGTACGCATTTCATTAATTGTGTTGTTCAAATTGAGATTTGATAAAATAGCCCAAATGAAACATATATCCGTATAGTCACTGTGGCAGTTTTTGAGACAATAACCCAGGCAACCAGATGACGAATGATCACGTCACTGTGACGTCCCTAATTGGTGATTTTTCGTCAGAGACGTCACACACCTCTTCATGACGTCACTATGACGTACTTTCTATGACGTGATAATCACGTCATCGTTTCGACGTCGAGTGAACGTCACTTAGATGGGTAAAAGAACCTCCTCTAAACCATGGATACCTATATGTTATCATGTGAAACAGAAGTATAACTCATGAAAGCGAATCAACATGCAAGTTTTATTCTAATTATTAATATAAC